GGAAGCGCGGTGCCAGTGTGTCCAGCACAGCAAAAACCCGGGGTTTTCCTTCTTCCTTCAGGAGGTCGATGTTAAAGGGTTGGAGCCTCCACTGCGTCCTGCATAAACCAGTCGCTGGCGTTGGTGTGTGCAGCCGGGCTTCCTGCGGTACAGCCCTGAAACACTTTTTGCACAGTTAGAATGTTTGCATAAACGCTTTCCTGTTCTCACCTCCAAGCCCCCGGCAGGTTAAAAACATCGAAAACGCTGGTGCCTCAAGCACACGAAAGTGCAGAGCGAGGAGCCCCAAGGCATGTGGGGACACAAGGACACACACAGCTGGCAGGAACATAAACTTACTTCCAGCATCTGCCATGACTGAGGTTTGTTTCCACGGGTGTAGTCTGGAAGAGAACCTCTTCTAGAAGCAGTATATTAAGCATTAGAGATACAGACATGCTAGGAAACACTCAGGAATAGCTTGTGGTAAGAGGGGCTGCAAGTTGCAGGCTGTCCCCAGTCTCTCAATGTCGTGACGCCATCACTGCATTGGGAACATCCACCTGTACCACGGCCTCCTACCGTCCGCACACTGCTTACAGATCAAAAGCTACAAAGTTTTCATGAAAAACCACCTAAAGCTTATCCCAGCTGACAGCTGGCTCCTTGCTCGCACCTCCCTGTTCATAGAAAAGTAACGCAACCTTGGGAATTCTGCAGTGAAAGATAAACAGGCCACGTTATCTTGTTTTCCCCATGAGATGAACACGTGTGTATGTGCGGTTGCCAGAGCTCAGTGAGCACTAAGAATGTGGCCATGGCTGGAACTTACCGAGTATTTTTTGTTCGTGTGGTACAAAACGTGCACTCGGATGTTGCCAATCTGCTTCCGGAGCCAAGAGTTATTAGGAAACTGTTTTCACAATTAACATGAAGACAAAGTAAAAGGTGACATTTGGATATTTTATTCAAGTCGGGTTTGGGTTTTTAAACCATTTTTAGGAGTGTCAAGTACAGCATTTTGGGAGGTCTAGTTCCACACAAAATGGAAGACTCTCTAAAAATGTACCCATTCAGTTCCTAAAAAAAAGTGGCAATAAACCGAAAGTCCGTTTGAAATTCAGTGACGCAATTATGGGTTTGCAGGTACAAAGACTCTTCCCTGATTATGGCCCTGTCTTACAAGCTTTCCAGTCAGTGCAAGGGAAAGGAACCACAACACAGGACAGGTTGTATTGGCTGAGTCACATCAAACCTCCTCTGCGACAGACTTACACAAGGTGGACAACCTAAAGCGTTCTGGAGACAGCTATAGGTGTAAGGTAACCAAAAAAAAGACACCATTCATGAAATGCCTGTCGAAAAAAAAAAAAATTTAAAAAAATCCCTTTTTCAGACAAGTTTGCGCATTTGCGTATGGAATTAACAGTACGATACAGTGGTCTGCGATACTTAAAAAGTCTCTGGTTTTATACCATGTTAACATATTCCTCGAGTAATCGATACATTAGTAAAGGTAATCAATACCTTCCTACCACCTCCAATCATGTAGCAGCTGACAGATGCAATGGGCAATAACATTAAAAAGAAGAAAGCGCCTGAACTTAGGAAAAGGTTTTATGCTTTTATCTCCATTTCTTTAACAACACCATTTTAAAACTTAGCTGTCTTTAACCAGGACTAGCAGGACTGATACTTAGCAATACTTGCATCCCAGACAAAACATCGAAAGGTACACTATATTCTGAAGGTAGCTATGCTGTATTTTCAAATTTGCAGTTGTGGAATCGCTCCTTATGCTTCAAATTCCAAGCCTAGACCAAGTTTGTGACCACCTGCGTTGACATTCTTGCCATCCAACAAAGCCGACAGTGTCAGTTTGATACCTGCAAAATACAGAAGAGAGAAAAGACCGTTAAAACTTGGGATGGAGCGTTACGTTCAGTAAGCACAGTGTCTGTGTCGCTGCTTTAATTTATTGGGTAGCCAGGTTAACATAATTTGGTGGCTGGCCTTGTGAGGACTGTGCATTCTAAACCAATTTGCAGATATGAAATCTTCCTGATTTATGAAAGTCGTAATAAACAATGGTGATAGATTCTGCTTTTTATCACTCAGAGTAATTAAAGCTTTGAGACGGTTCGCTGCTGCTGATATACTGTTTAATCTAATTTTAGAGTCCAGTATTATGAAAAACTGGGACCCACCTTTCTAAACCACTTTAAAATCTAGGTATGAAAAGGCACAAACTCCTGTCTACTGTTAATACCTTATGTTAATCTGCAGATTTGTTAGACTACATTAAAACCAATTTCACAGCAGTAAGATTGTCCTCCTGGACCAGGAGACTTTGAGAAAGTCACATTTTCAAGCAAAATAAATTCAGTAATAGGAAGCCTCTGAAAGTACTAAAGCCGCATTTATTTGTCTGTGAAACACCTAGTTGTAAATGTATTTTGTAGCAACATAAAAGAGTATCCGACTGGTCAGTGGATGGTGGTCTCCAACAATTCTGTTTCCAGCAGACATCCCAAATAAACAGTAGTCCTTGGAAAAGGTTGTCCACTGCCAAGTGGGACAAAAGTCTTACAAAACCAATCCCATTTTGTCACAAAAATCCCAGCAAGATTAAAAATATCACACTATTGATTCTGAACTTCTTCTGCGTAGACTTACCTGGCTTTAAAGTCTGTGTGTATCCTAATCCAATCAGACTGGAGTTGTTCACTTTAGCCTTAAAGGGAAAAAATACTGTATGTAAATAATTGAGCATCTTTCTTCAGTCCTTCCCGCCTCAAAATTAAGTAACACCTTTTAAGCAGATAAAGGCTCTCATGTTTTAAATCACAAAAAAAAAATCTAGTTAATTTTGCAGTAACTTAAATCCAAAACGAATCTACAGTCACTATGGAAAATAATCTTTTTATTAACATAGCTTTTGATTATTTCTCAAAACAGGGCCAAATAATGCGATGAAAAGTTGTGTCACTTCTAAGGAAAGCCCCATAGTTCTGCTCTCACGCTGCCAAAACCAAGACAGACAGAGAGACTGCCCAACTGCACCCAAATTGTACTTTACTGATGCAAAGGCTGCTTCACGCTGCTGTTACAAATATCTATTTTCCAATGCTTAGAAATGTACATGCACAGCACTCACAGAAAAAGAGGCATCTGGGTCAATCTGATACTTGGCTGCTATTCCGAAGCGAGTGTTGCTATTACCAGCCGTCCACGCAAGATTCACGGCTGTTTCCAGTTTGTCGTTTACCTTCTGGTAAATGGAGCCACCGAATTCCGTTCCGTCGTTCCTGGAAGGAATGCATCAGTCTTGTGATAAACTGCACCCAAAAACAGTCAGCTTTTCCTTTTTTTCCCCCCCCAGTAAGATCTATATTGGCAGAACACTCAGTGATACCTCATTTAATGTCCCTATAACAACTGAGACAGAGACATTAGGCCAGACGGGAGATGAATTCATTTTTAAATGCTTAAATTCATTGATGGTTATTGTTTTTTCAACAAACAGCTTGTGGAACTGAAAAAAAAAAAAGCCATAACAAACTATCAAAAATAGACTAATGATGACAGCTCCCAATTTTTCTTTGTCCCTAGATGAAAGTCTTTGTGACAAGGAGATTTATTCTTCTCTGCGTATCTCTCAAATTATTTTCCTGTCTGCCGAGTGCCCTGGAAGGGCTGTAGCCCAGTCACCGAGCCTAAGCAGCCTCGTCAGCGTGCTTTTACCAGACACACAAACTGTATCAGAAGTGAAAATGCCCATTTAATGTCCAAGTCTGCCAGCTTTCACAAACACGTGCCATTTGCAACAGCTCATGGTACATCTGTACCACAGATGGGTCTCTGCTAGAAGCAGAAGTGAAACTCATTTTATTTTGCAGAGAGCACTGGCCAGCAGCTGGCAGATGACAGCCTTCTGCCAATGCAACCCAGTAGCACAACTTCCAGTAGCTACTGACACCAACATCACACAGGGAATAAAGTGTTAGTAAATAAAACGCAAAACATCATAAAAACAAGAGACTTCTAAAAGCCTTGCACTCCTTGTAAACCAGGGAGAATGTGCATTTCCATTTTTGCTCTTCTGAAAAGAGGATCCAAACATACTGCACGAAAGGGGCTTTAAACTGTGGAAGACAGCTGCGAATAAAATACTTATGATTATTTCTAAACTCTGAAACAATTTTGTTCCAATTATTAGAGTATACCAAACCTTCGGTGAATTAAAAAAAGAGGGGAGCAGATTTAGAATCTTTCCTCTTTTTCCACTTTGGCCTCAAGTTCCTTAGCTCCTAACAGCTGCACAAACAGTAGTGACAGGCCTATTTAACAAGTTCAAGCATTAGCAGCAGTCTTACATTCTAAGAGAAATTCTTCCAGAAAAACGCTACAATACTTACTTCAGATAAGACTGAAGCTCGCGTATAACTGCACACACTTGGCTCTCAAGAAAAGGAGGGATTAAAAAGGACTGAGGAGAGCTGGTTATACAGGCAGATTTTGTGCAAGGTTCCCACACAGCTCTGTCCTGACCGGCGATATTGTGGGGGCAGCAGTCTGAGCTATGCTTAGAATGTGAGGAAAGTCATATTTAAAACTAGAAATTAGCCAGCCCTACCTCCCTTTGGGTTTTACTTATTGTTAAAAAATACTAATAATAATTAAAGAGCCAGACCTCCTTTTAATTCTAATAGTAATAATAGCACTTTTCAGACATAGATGAAAAAAAAACAGTATCCCCCTACAAAAACACATACGTTGCAACACCATTAAGGGAAGTAACTCACTGATGTCCCCAGCTGGATTGTGCAACACCAGGAACAAAAGACGATGCTTCAAGCCCCACCGAGGTAAATTCTCAGCTCTGCCACAGCATTCCTGTGAAACCCTGAACTGTCCCCATGTGGGAGCTCCACATGCAACTGCTTCTGAGTTTATATAAAAACTCTGACACGTTTCAAAACTGAAATACATGAAGTCCCTGGCTAATCTATCCATATCACACATTTATGGTGCTGCCCGTCAATTGGCAGCATCCAAATAGGAAATAAATAAACGAGGCATCCTCCTGAAGATGTTTGCTCATCCGCGTGCAGTAACAGCAACCTAAGAAACAGATCCTTGGATCCAAGAAGCAACACAGTAAGATCTGAGCCCCTGCTGCTGTTATACAGTTAGTTTCTGTCATTAAGAGTAATAATAATTGCAGCATTTTCCAGCAAAAGCCGGTATCGCAATGTTTTGAACTGCTACAGCAGGGCAAAGTTGAAAGTCATTGTGCTTGGAGGAGTAACTCCTAAATACAGAGCGGAGGGGGACCCCACACGTTGTGGCCAGGCAAGTTTTCTGCCCACGTTTTTGCGCTCTGGCAATCCTTCAGTCGCGCTGCCGGAGCCGTGCAGTTCAGTTGTTCTGCAAGGCAGTGTGAGTTCCCAAACCAGATCTCGGCAAAACAGCATGAACAGAAAGGCTTTGAAGAAGCAGCGCCAGGAAGACAGAACAGTTGTTCATCCCCCGACCAGGAAGAGCCTGGGATAGCTCTGCTACCCAAAAAATATCCCGTTACCCAAGGGAATGGGGAAGGAGGGGGCGGGGGAAGTGGATTAGGGATTGCCTAATCCTAACAGTCTTCCCCAAAGGCATAGATTACTTTTTGAAGAGGAACAGGAGACAGAAGAATTAAAGTTTTCATGGAATTTGGCCCTGGTTTCCCATTGTTACTGCATTCAGAGAGGACAAATGCTTGTGCAAATAGATTAGGAAATATAATACTAAATCAAACTTTTATACCACATCCCGTCCAGTACCGAACCAAACCCAGGGCATATCTCTCCCATTCATTCCCTTTTGTCTCTTCTTGTTTATCCTCCGATTAATTCTTTTCTCTACCGATCAAACCATTTTCGTCTGATTTTGACAACTGTCTGATTTCAGCTTTCACAAAGAGTATTTTTATAACCCACTTGCTGTATTATTCCACTAATAGATTCTAACAGTCCTTATCTCTTAGAAAGGTACAACACTGGATGCTCGGGTGCCCAGTAAGTTCCAGTTCCTTCCATCATGCACTCGCTCCCCGACGTAATTCAAAAAAAAGTTAATGCAGCTAAAAAAAAAAAAAAAAAGGCAGTTTGCCATCTTAAACGAGGCAATTTCACATCCACCATCCCCTCTTTCATTGCTGATGAAACTCCGTCCCTTTCATTGTTGTACTAAGCAGCAAAATCCTTTCAAATTCCTTTTTAATGCCCGTCTGCCAACACTTACACATTCGTATGAAGCTGGAATTCGTCGGTCTTGTAGCCAACAGCAAAGTTGCTTTGGGTTACTCTGGACTTGGCTGTCTCGAAAGTCATTTGGTAACCTGCCAGCCACCCCTGGTAGCCAAGCACCAGGGCTCCACGTATCGAGGGGCCAGCAATATCAAAATCCATGTCGCAGCCGATGTTGATGTGTTCTCTTTTGTACCCCGACTTAACTTTAGCACTCTTTTTCCTGAAAAGAAAGAATTGTGTGTCTTTGAAGAGGGACGCTCGTGGGTAGTAGCTAAATCACTCAATGCAATAGTTCTCGAAGACATTGTAGACATACCCAGAGAGCCACACGATATGTCACCTTCCCTTTCACACTTGCAAAACCCTAATTTAGCTACAGTAAACTATCTGCAATCAAACAAATCCTCATCTCCAACTAATCTGATGGTTTGGGAAGTTGGGTAGATGCAGGGGAGGAGTGAGAACTTCCCAATATTGAATGGTTACAGCCAAGTTCATGCAGAAATAAACTTTCCTGAGTTTCTTTTTATACTATTGGCCCAAGCAGTGTTTCCTCATGTGTCCTTAGGTCAGTCTACATCAAGGGTGCAGACTCCGACAAGGCAAGTGAGTTACATCTAATATATTCAGCTGTTCTTATTTAAGATATTTTTTTCCTTCTCTTTTTACCTTACAAGTGTCTTCTGCATTTGATGAAGCCTTTTACTGAAATCTTCCTGGAAAATTCAGGTCAGTAAGATATTTCATATCAACCTTTCACTTCAACTAGGAAAAACAGTCTCCAGAAATTGCTTCAATGCTGCTCTCTTTTTTTAATATTATCATTGTATTTCAGACTCAGGAATTTCTCATGTTTTGCAAAATCAGAAATAAAGAGCGGGGGTGCCAAAAGCACTCGCCATAAGCTGATCTGCAACTTCTGTAAAAGTCAGCAGTACCTGTCCCACCAGTGTCGACAGAGGCACGCTAACGCTGAGCGCTTCTAAAAATTACTTTCCCTGTGGAAAGACTCATCACAGCCAGTAAAGCAGTAAGAAGGGGGAAGGAGGTGTCTCATATTCAGAAAATACATCAACCTAAACCAGGTCCCACTAGGATCGAGTCGCACTCCATTTATCCAAATTTTAACAGTCCTCCCACAAGATAATCATTTTAACTCAGTACTACAGTGTCTGTGAAAGTGCTACACAGCTGTAACTTGTCATTCTCATACAGTTTGTTTTCTTTTTAAGACTCCTACCAGCTAAGAAATAATTATTGACAAACACTGGAGATTACTCTGGTTAACAAACACAGAAAATATCTAGTTAATGTCAAATCAGGCATGGACTGGTGGCAGCTGACAGCACAGGACACAGTCTAGAAGACAGGGAGAATCCTCCACTGGGATTATAACCCCACAGTGCTGCCACGGGACGCTAATGGGCAGGATATTTTGGCTCACTTGCAGCATTGCTTGCAAAAAAATAATCGGGGAGGGGGGAAATAATAAACCAACATCTAGACCTACAGCTGCTGCTTAATCCCTCTGGCCCACATAAAACGTGGCATCCAATCGCTCCGTCAGAAATACTCATCCACCGCCACGGCGCGCTGTGGCCAGCAAGAATTCAGATGATAAATTCAGCTCGGGACAAGAGCCCAGTTACTGTGTCAACCTATTATAGCTGTGGCCAACTGGCTCCCGGAGCTTGTTAAGCTCTGCATTACAGCTGACTTGTTTGGTGTTTTTATTCAGACAGCAGCTCATCCTCTGACACAGCCAGAAATACGCAACAGGAGTGCAAACAAAACCTTCTCATCACACCCTAATCCTGACTACAGTTTTCAAGTTATTGAATTTAAAAGTTTGCTTGCTACGCTTCAGGATTAAAAAGAATTGTTATAATACTAAGATTTAAACCAGATGTATGCAATTTCATCACACACAGACAAATTATTAACTGTCTCGATATCTGCGGAAGGAAGGAGTAAAGCAACACAATATGCTGGGAAACTAAAATAAAATATGCCTCATCACTTGAGCTTACTCACTTCTTACCCAGTGTTAGGAGAGAAGGTGGAGTCAAAGGTCAGCTTCAGGCCACGTGCGAGCTGAATAGAAAAGAAATTCACTGGTTGGATTCACCATTAGAGATTATCCTAAATTAATCTGTAAACGGCATCCTTTGAGCCGAAAATTACCTGATCTTCAAGAGTGATCTCAGTGCCTAGTGTGTTGTCGGTGTTCCACTTTTCCGTGAACATCAATCCATATTCCACCCATTTGTATTTTGTTTCCAAACTACCACTAACTTTACTCGTTTCTGTGTTTGCTGAACCTGAGCTTGTAAACTCCTAAAAGGAAAAAGAAATTACATACACATTTACAAATACATATATATTTGCACACAGGCAAATACTTATACTTGTAGGGCATATTAGTCATTGTAATTTGGGATATTATTCAACACTGCAGAGTTCTGAGAAGATTTAATAACATGTTTGCTCGTCATAAATGCAAAGTAACTTGCAAGGTTATAATCGATCTGAGAAATGATAAAGGGAGAGTAAGGGATACTTTACTTTTTAGAAGAAAAAAACACTAAGCACAAGAACATCACAAAGGTTTGCATTTCCAAACTCACCAGTCCGTTTTCAGATTTTGTTTTCAAATCGAGTTTTATTAACCCAAAACCTAGAAGATGGGTAAAAAAAAGACGAGTTACATGTCAGTTAATTATAAAAGTTTTTCTGGTTTATTTCTTAAAGCTCTCTTCTAAATCGCCTGTGAACTATTTAAAAAAATACAAAAACCAAGGGTACAGTTATCAACCCGCACGTTTTTCTGAAGCAGGTTATGCAGCACGTACTCACTTCAGATAGCACTTGACTGATTAATCCTACTGACCTCAGCAATATAATTGGGACCAAATTAGGCAATAATGTGTTTATTCACACTGAGCAGCATTCTGTTCCAAAGCAAACTACTGACATTAATGAACCTATTCACGATACAAGGAAACAGTCAAAACACAACACACAATTTTCTTTCAAAGCAGACAGCAGTCTTGTGGGGAACAGGGAGAATTTTGCCAACAGAAAAGTAAATTACATCCCCTTTCTAGAGAGCGAGGGCAGTGTGAAGCTATGACAGAAAATTCTCTGGATTCTAATGGAAATAATTGGAACACTTATCAGGGAAAATTAATAAAATTCTAACAGTTTCAGGAATCAGGTAGACAACAAAAGACCAAATTTATATTGGCTTTATTTACCGTATCCTTTGGTGAAAATATCCCTGGCAGATTTGCCCAGATCAGCATATGCAGGTGGAACAGCCATTTTCTAAAAATAAAAAAAAATAAAAGAGATGTATTTTTAGAAAAGAAACTGTCTCTGCCTTTCCAGAGTCATTTCCAGAGTCAACTGTTGTTCTCTTGTCAATATAACTGCATGAATTAACGTCTTTTTTTTTTAAAGCCATTTCCTGGAAACATTTCTCCTGCTTCTCATAACAGAGCTGTGCATTCTGATGCAAAGCATTAGGGCCCCAATTGGGAAATCCAACCAGGATGAGCATCTGGCATGAGGAGCACCTCTCTCCCCCGCCTGCAGAGCAGCAGAGGGATAACATATACGTTGGCAAAATCGACAAATGCTTTGGTTGTATTTGACTTTGCTAGTGCTGCTGAGATGTCTCCTTAGACACTGACCTTTAAGTGTTCTTTCTGATCATCGAGGGGGGAAAAAAAATGAGCTTGATGAGAAAAGTTCAGACCGTAGGGATGCTACACCGTGAAGTCAGGCAGTCAGGAGGGTAGCCACGAACCCCGCTTCAGTAGCCAAACACAGACCAGAGCGCTCTGCAAAGCCTGGAGCGGGGCTCAGCAGCGTGGACACTGCAGGGGCAGCTCTCTTTGGTGGGGATGCCCACATTGCCATGAAATTCCTCACTTTCCCGTCTTCAGCAAGCCCTGACCATTCTTGTTTTAATGGTCTCCTGCAAGAAATCTACGGTATCCCATTTTTCTCTGCCATCGAGAGAGCTGTCTCGTCATTTACAGTGGAGAAAACAGGATCCTGAGAGGAACAAACCAACTAAATCTAATTCCTTACTCAAGTACAGTAATTTCTGCTAGAGAAGCAAAGTCAAGCAATCGGGAATAGTGTACACCTTCTGTCTTTCTAGATGAGATTTCATAATTTTCACAAAGCAAAAGAGATAAAGCACACTTATAAAGCCAGTCCTCCTAACACCAGATGTTGCACTAAAATTCCATATGCTCAACCTTTTTGGTTATGCAGACTTAATACGCAGCTTATTACATAAGCGTGCAAATGCTTAAAAGATCACCCACCAATCCTTACTCCAGACTATTCCATGTTAGCAGAAAACTATTCCTCTAAACCACGAAGAAAACAGTGAGCTCTGAGCATGAGGGATGCTCTTAACAGTCTTTCTGGCTGTGACCTTGGATGCAGTTCTCTGGGCGAGCACGACGCCCCATGAGGATCAGATTGGGAGTTTCAGCAGTTTCTCAATGTCTCACACACTCCATCCAACAAGTTGTTGCCTGTTAAAGCAGGATATTGCTCTCGCACGAATGAAGAATCCCTGTCCCAGAAGGAACAAAACGCCATCTCTTGCCAGTTATGGTTCAGTAATAAGATGCAGCCCCAAATACAAAAGCTAAATAGTTGAAAAAAAAAAACATATTCCATATTCCAAAGCAGTTTTAGCTGCTTATGTTAGACCTGAACATCTTAGGTTTTTGTGCAAACATGAAAGCAGGGATTTAATGTTTATACACAGAAGTAGCCTTTAAAAAAAACAATCAAACAAAAAACCCAGAAGAAAATAAAACTATATGTGCAAAAATAGCCAAATCAAGTATTAACTGGTATCTTTGAGCAATTCCTCTACTCCTTATTAAAGTTACTAGAATGAAAGTACAGTGCCCTGCTTGGAGATCATACGTTAAAGTCAGAGCTAAGGCAGCACCCAGGAGAGGGAGGGCAGGAGTCCGTAAGGGCTGTACGTGTTCCGGAAACGCTTCTTCCCTGCCAGAGCAGCCTGGTCCCACGGGAACCCTCTAATGGGTGTTTCCATTTAGCATCATCAATAATTAAAAGTGTTAAAAATCCCTACACTTGAAAAAAAAATCAAATAAGCATCGCTTTGAAAGATAATGTGCTGCCTGGCCAGCTGCACTTTGGAATCCACCAACTCTATTTTATCAACAGGCCCTTTGAGTCACTCGACCAAATCCAAATATTTCCTTGACAACTGAGTGCTGCTTTCAGTTTGCATTTTGTAGGCTCTGGTTTTCCCCCACCCGAGCCCACGAAGCCGAGCGTTGCTCCCGCTGACATGCCAGGCTGCTTCCCTGCCGCTCTCTGGGCTGCGGCTGCGGGACAGTGGGAGATGGTGTGATCTCCACTTAGACAATTACTATAATTAAGGGACAATACTGCAAGCCAAATCCCTGCCGATTGTAAGGCAGATCATGCAATGCACACAGAGCAAAGGGTACGTGGAGTACGCCACGAGCTAGGTGCGTGGTGGTTCACCTTGCCATTGTCAGCAAGAACACAAATAATTATTTCTGTTTGCGCCAGCTAATGGGAAGCCTCTTGTTTAACAGATGGAAAACAGAACTGATTACATCCTGTGCAAGTGCAGGTTGTAAGACAAACATGCTTAACAGGGATTCAAACTCTTAAAGGATCAAGGAATGGCCGTGACCAAGTGCCCTTGCTTTTCACCAGCAGGATTCCAGCACATTAACTCAGATTAGGTTGGGGCTGAAATGAATTCATTGCTTTTATCCTCGTCCAACTGTGCACACAGCTCAGTGACTGTACCTCCACTCCCGCACAAAGCAGGCCAAGTAGAATATGTGTAACGTGTTCTAAAATACTTGGATTTTCTCAAGTAGGAAATCATTTGGCACTCGCAAGTCATGGCTGGAGAAAACCTGAACTGAGGAGCTCACTCCCAAGTGCCGCTGTGAGCACCAGCTCCACGAATTTCCAACCACCACGGGGAGAAAATAGGAAACTTCCTCTGGAGCCTCAGGACCCAAGAGCCAGCCCTAGTGAAAACTTCATTAAAGATGAAGCACTTTCAGCAAGCCAAATCTGAATGTTTCCCAGTGTCACAGATGGCAAAGTTTCCATCCTACGATGCAGTTCTGGGCAATTAAATCGAAATCAGCCCAGCAGGCAGCAAAGCCCTGGGGTGCCCTTGGCAAACATAAGGACTGGCTGCAACCAAAGAAAAACTCATCTCTGCTTGATAACTCTCTAATGTGCCTTAGTTAAAGTTTCCCCATCCAGACTTAACAACTTTGTGATACTTCCATGAGTGGAAGGAACAATCTAAACATTTAAGGTAAGAATAAAATCCATTAGGAATAAAATTTCCGTGAAAACAATGGGAGTCCATCAGATTCCAGGCTAAGAAAACAAAAAGATTGGATTTAACCTCACTCGAGCCACAGGTTTTTTTCCTAATAAATCTGAACTCATGTACCATTTCTTGACAGTAACAGTAGGTCTGAACATGTCAGCTCCCCATCTCCCTAAGCGGTACCCCTGGCAAGATGATGTCACAGAGCAGACACATAATTGTTGCTGGGGACACGTCCCACCAGCGTGTGAGCTGGGAGGGACAGACTGCGTCGGGTTATGAGACCAGGTGCAGTGTGCTTACACGAGGGAAAAAGCACATGAGGATCTCTTGTGTCAAGATCAAAAAAAAAAAACAAATCCAAACTTGATTCATGTATTTCCCATTTATCTCCTTCATTAAAGGAAAAATTATTCCTTGGTGTGAAGTTAACTTTTAAGTGATTTTCTGGACCTTCAAGCCTGTGCAGTGTCATTTCCCAACCAATGTATGTTGTGTTAATAAACAGATGACAAAGGACGGTGCTTTTGCTCTCAGGCAGGGCCCAGCATGGGTGTCCCTGTCACAGAATCATTCAGGTTGGAAAAGCCACTTGGGATCATCGAGTCCAACCATGAAACCTACTCTACACAGCTCAGCCCTAAACCATCTCCCCCAACCCCACATCCCAACGACCTTTAAACACCTCCAGTGGTGGGGACTCAACCCCCTCCCTGGGCAGCCTGTGCCAGTGTCTGACTACTCCTGCTGGGAAAAACTTTTTCCTTGTGTCCAGTCCAAACCTCCTCTGTTGCAGTATGAAGTCCAACTGTCCAACCTCCCAGGCCGCCAGGTGAGCACGGCCCAAGCTCCACAGTCTGGGTTTTATGATCCAGGTCCCAAATCCATTCACATCCTGACTACAGTTTGCTTTGAATCAGGCTCAGAAGCCTAACTGTGCAGAGATTTAAGAAACACTTAACTGTAAGCATGTGAGCAGTGAGACATCAAGTTGGGCACATTCACAGGTCTTCCGAGAAACCCGTATATGCACGCAATTTGTAAATGCTCTGCATCACGGGACATGAGACTTCACAATGCTTTTTGCCCCAACTTGCCACCGTGGTGATTTCCTGCAGTCCGTGCCCCATTATGACTCAAAATTCTATGGGAGTCTATGAGCTGGGAGTCATAGAATCACGGAATCCACAGAGTCCATGCAGGCATAGCGCAACCACGCAGCGTCCCTCTGACACTCGCGGGATCGCAGCCTTCCTACCATGGCTTTGCTTTTGAGCTACAGACGTGATGGAGCAGATTTAGTTTTCAAACTTTGGTTTGGCGGTGTCTCTGTAAGCCCAATAAACGCAAGAGCACAGAGGAGATAAACCCTTTGAAAGCACATGTAAATAAGTCAATGCTAATATTTATGGAATTCCAGAAAGAGCCTGTTCTTAATTGTATGAGTATAAATTAAGAATGATAGATTATACGGAACTCCGTTATTATACTATGATATATAAGTATCAATTAAACAAAATTGGGTGATATTGCAGCATTCTGTAGCTACTGCAGTTGCTAAAACTGCATGAGAAGAGCCACATCCCCTATATGTTAAATTAAACACTCAGGTTAACCTGTGTGTTCCTTCCCAATCTGTGCAGAGGAGGAGGTGAGCAGCGCTGCTGTCCCACCTCGGTGCCAGCCTCGGCACGGCGCTCAAGAAGGGACACGTCCCTCGCTCCCGGCCCCGCTGCAGGAACACCCAGCGCCAGGTCAGCGGAGATGACTAATTAAAACGGCATCTCATCTTCCAGCGCAATTTGACAGCTTGCTCCCCCTCACACGGAAGAGGAGCATCCATCATACCCGAGCTCAAGCTGCAGACCCCCCCCAAGGTGGGTTTTCCTCCACCTGCAGCGGGAGCCAAGCCCGGCAGGGCCTGCGCTTC